TGTGAGGTGAACAGGCCAAAGGATGTGCTCCACCCCTAGCTCTTTTCTTGAGGGTAGTGAGATCGTCCTCCTGTTTCTGAGATGGCTCATGTTATACCCCGGCTGGAGTGTCAAGTTTTCACAATGACAGTGAACTCGGGGAACCTCCACAGCTGAGTCATGTCACCCTATCAGTATCTTCTCCCTCCTTCTCTTACCCAGACCTACCAGGGCAGAAACATTGTTGGGTAGAAATGACAGACTATGGCTGGGAGGGACGTTAGATAATTCACTACACTTCAGTTACATTTAGTATTGTGCATCTCTCACCATTGTCTCGTTTTAAAACATTTTCAGCACTCCAAACCGAATCTTTGTACCCAGCATTTCCCAGTCTCGCATCCCAGCTGCTGCTACCGTCTAGTCTACTTTCTGTCACTTCTAGATATGTCAGTGGGATTGCACAGAATTGGGCTTGGGGGTCTCCCAACATGGTGTTTTCAGGGTTCTCCCTTGTTCTGGCTTGTGCCAGTCCTTCTTGTCTCTTTATGGCTGAGTAATATTGCCCTGTATGGATGGACCACATGGTGTTTATGTGTTTGCCCAGAGATGGACAGTTGTCCATCTTTGGCTATTGTGAATAGTACTGCTGTGAATGTTGGTGTTGGAGTATCTGTTTGAGCCCCGACTTTGATCCCTTGCAGGTCTCGATGTAGGAGTAGTATTGCTGGGCCATACAAAAATTTAGTTTTAAGTTTTTGAGGACCTGCCAAACTATATTCAGCTGCAGTTGCACCATTTTACGTGAACAACAGCGCACAAGACTTCCAGATTCCAGTTTCTCTACGTCTTTGCCAATACTTGTTATTTTTCTGTCTTTCTCTTTTGTAATCCCCTCCTTAATGACTTGTGTCAGTTAGTTGTGCTGTGGTGACTTGTGTGTACCTGGGATGCTGGAAGCTGTTTCACGTCCAGTAGTCATTCAAGGTATCCAGGGTTTAGCAGATCTTCCAGAATAATAGCAAGGAGAAAGACCTGGAGATCTACTGCTGAAAATCGGCTGATAAAAACGTCATGAACAGCAGTGAAACATGGACATACTGCCAGAAGATGAGCCCCTCCAGTTAGAAGGCACTCACAACATGACTTAGGAAGAGCACCCTCCCCAATGTAGAGTCAACTTTAGTAGTATGGATGAAGTCAAGCTTTTAAGACTTTCAGTAGCTAATATGGCACAACATCACATGAGAAGAAACATCTGTGAGCGTCCGTTAGTAACTGAGTGTGGGATGTACACAGTATGAATCCTAGAACATTGGAAGTTGTCAAAAATGATAAGAACATTTGAAGATTTATATCCCAGGCACTAGTGAACTGAATGTATAGACAGCTGCAATGCTGAAAAGTGCTCATTCGTATATGTGAAAAAGTTTGGGAAACAGCTACCTGGCCAACTGGAAGATGTGTATATTTCTGCCTTTTCCAAAGAAAGCAGATCCGCCAGAATGTGGAAATTACTTAACAGTATCATTAACATCACACGCCTGTACAATCTTGCAAAGATAATTTAAAAAAACCTGTAGCTCATGAATGGCAGCAGTACGTGAACAGAAAATTCAAGCAGGATTCTGAAGAAGGCGGAGAATGAGGACTATCTCTGCTTCAGTCAGAGGAATCTTGGCTGAAAGCAGAGACTAGCAGTGAGCTGTTTACCTATGTGTTATTGACTGTGCAAAGACAAATCTGCTGCACAAGACCTTTTTAAAGTGTTGAAGAGCAAAGATGTCAGCTTGAGGACTAAGGTGTGCCCGACCAAAGCTATGGTATTTTCAGTTACCTCATATACATGCGAAAGCTGCACAGTGAATAAGGAAGACCATAGAAGAATTGATGCCTTTGAGTTATGGTGTTGGAGGAGAATATTGAAAGTGCCATGGACTGCCAAAAGAACCAATAGGCCAAGATGGCTAAGCTTCGTCTCTCATATTTCGGACATATTGTCAGGAGGGATCAGTTACTGGAGAAGGATATCATGTTTGGTAAGGTGGAGGGTCAGAGAAAAAGAGGAAGACCCCCAATGAGATGGATTAGCCAAGTGGCAGCATCGATGGACTCAAGCGTGGCAACAGTAGTGAGTTCGGCCCAGGATCAGGCACTGTTGTGCATAGGGTCACTATGAGTCGGTACCTATTCGATGGCACCTAACAACAACAACAACAACAGAAAGCATTAGACTGTGTGGAGTATAATAAACCATGGCTAGCATCAGAAAGAATGGGAATTCCAGAACATTTAAAACTGTCATAATGCAGAACCTGTGCGTAGACAAAGGGGCAGTCGTGGAACAAGAGACCATGCTGTGTGCTGGGAATCACTTTGTCTTGGTTTTCATTTCTCTTCATGTTTAAGTGCACACACTTTTGTCCCCTTGGTTAAATTTATTTCTCTTTTTTTCCCCTTTGTTGTTGTTGTTAATTGCCGTCGAGTCGATTCCGACCCATAGCAACCCTGTATAGCGTTTCCAAGGCGCAACCACCGACCTTGCAGTTCAAATGACTTTGCAGTCTGATGCATTAGCCCACATCAGCACACCAGGACTAAATTCTTTTCCTAAGTTCCATTTGGAGTTTTCATTGCTGGTGCACTCAGACTATTGATTTTGGGGTGTGGCTCTTGCACCCTGTACATTGGCTCGATTTATTTATTTGTGCTAGTTTTCTTGTGGGTTGTTGGGATTTTCCACATGGTCATGTGACCTGGAATGGGGGTAGTTCTGTTTTCTTTGAGATGAACTTGCCTTTTACTTCCTGATCTGTTCTTTCTCTCTCTTCATTGGCTCCTTTGCTCAGTACAAGATCTCGTTTATTCTGTTCCTAGTTTTCTGAAGGTTTTCTCTTGTAAAGATGCTGTTTATAATGATAATTGTAGTCATTAGAGTAAAAGTGACTTAGCGGCATCATGTTTGAAATAAGCAGGAGGAAGCTATACCACCTGAACACGGAGTAGGATGTGAAAGTGGAGGATAAGGTTTCTGGTGAAGGAAGGGTGGAAGGAAGAAGGGTGGTGATGAGAGTCAGGAGCTTGTGGTGTCTTCTAAGGGGTCTTGAGGTTGTTTTTCAGGGTAAGAATTCACTGAGTTGTATATGGCGGCTGTGGTGGCTCCATACGATAAACACAGGTCTGGGGTTCGAGCCCACCAGCCACTCCGCCGAAGAAAGATGAGGCTTTCTGCTCTCACAAAGATTTAATGAGCCTTCTCAACCCTATACAGGGTTTCCATGGGTTGGAACCTACTGGAAGACACTTCACAACAAGACGCTATGCATATATGCATGTGCGGTTTTCTATCATTTTTATTTTACAATTTAAAAGTCTAAACTTCATAATCAGTAAATTTCTCTTGTTTTATATGCTTCCTTTTCTTAAGTGATTACTTTTTATAAGTTGGTAATTTGGACTTTTAATCAGATGTATAATATACATAGTTTCAAAGTAAACAATACAGAAATGTGTTCTATCCCTTTTCCTTCCTCCCTCTGTAGATATTACACAGTGATACACACACTTAGAGTCAACACCACACACAATCACACTCAAACACATTCACATGGAGTCCTGGTGTGGGGCTGTGGGTTAATGTGCTGGACTGCAAAGTGAGTTTGAACCACAAGGTCGGTGGTTGGACGCTCCTTGGAGACCCTGTGCAGGGCTGCTATGGGTCAAAACCGACTCGATGGCACACAACAGCAGAACCAACATATTCACATACTCCCACCCTTGTGTGTTTTCATACATTCAACCATTAATCCTTAACATCCATAGTTCACACACATGTTCTCACACTCATTCAAACACATTCACAAACTCACTTATCCTCACAGTTCATGTTCATTCACAGTGATACACGTTCTCACATACTCCTATTCAAACACATTCCTACATATACTCAGTTCACACTTACTGAGTTACACTTACCCATGTCCTCACACTCAGCCATAGACACGATTCACAGTCCTCACATACACATGAGCTCAAATCCATTCGTGCTCACACACATTCATTCACAATTCACTGTTGCACACACACTTAGCCATGTTCAGAGACCCAAGCATACTCCTTCACACGGACTCAATCTGTTCTCACACACTCACACTCTGACACATTCATACTCACATACACTCATAATTCATATAGTTCTCACACACCGCACAGCCTATCGGCCTAGACAGCTCTCTGTACACCCTCTGGCAGGCAATTTACCCCGTAAGCCTGCACCCTCATACGTCACTGTGAGTCATCCTCATACATATTTATACTCACTCACTCACAATTCACATTCACTCACGTTCTCACACACTCCATGGCCCACCTCTGCAGAGATGACCGTCTACACACACGTTGGCAGGTGATTTACCCTCTGAGCCTGCACCCTCTTGGGGCAAAGCAAGCCATCCCTGTTCTTTCCACCTCAGATAGCTTTCCTGAGGCACCTGCGAAGAGAACAAGGTTAAAATGATATTAAAAACAAGCATAACAACAGCCCTTGCCCATTGGAGCTATGCACTGGGATATTTACTGAGGAATCAGTGCACATACATAGATATTTTTACTGTATTCATAGCTAGTGGGTTTTGTACAAATTGAACATGTGTGGAACAGGTCTGTCTGGCATTTTCCACAAAGCCTGTGCTTACTTTGTGTCATATTTTGGTCATTCTTTCAAACTTTTAAAAAGACATTTGTTCAATATCTCAGGTTTATTCAGTGTACTACTGAATACTTTATAGACTACAAGAGAGTTAAAGCAAAACTTTTATGTGCATTGAGAAATCTACAAATTCATGTGACTGACTTCATTGCAACATTTGTTTATTGTTGTGGCCTGTAACGAACGGAGCCCGCAGTAGCTCTGTGATGTGCCCGTAGATAGTGTCGTGACCCTCTGTGCTCTGCCATCTTTGTTACAAAGTGTCTGTGGCTCAGAATTGCTTTTCGGTGATGTTTCCCTCTTTCTTTTCCAGGTTCATGCTTTATTCGGACTGATCAGCTCGATGGTGAGACGGACTGGAAACTGAAAGTGGCAGTGAGCTGTACACAGAGGCTACCGGCCCTGGGGGTAGGCATAACACGTTCTTGTCACCCCCTTCTCGCCACGTGTGTCTCCCCCACCCTGTACTGGTCACCTCTCATAGCTGTAGAGCACAACGACCCTACTGGCTCGACACTAGTTTTCTTCTGGTCATATCCATTCTTCTTTCTTGGGTTTTTCAGCTTTCTTCGTTGAGTCATTCTCAAAGCTGACACATTTTCAAGGGTCTAACCCGTACTGCTGTGGGAGGTTTGGGAAACCATAGGATTCAAACACCAGGGCAGATTCAGCATGGTGTCGTTGGCCTGCTGTGTTTAGAGGTGCATTCATTCTGAGTCTTCCCTGTGGACACGGAGAGCCCTATAGATGTGGGGCATCTTCCTATGGACGTAGAGCTGTCTGTCATAAAAAAGGAAGAGGGACGCGTCCATTCTGATCTTCCTGTGGACGCAGAGCTGTCTGTCATAAATAAGAGCGACAGGTCCATTCTGAGTCTTCCTGTGGACGTGGAGAGCCTTTTCTCACAAGAGAGAAGGACATGTCTCAGTCTGAGTCTCTTAGACCAAGGGAAGAAGGAGAAACACAATTTCTAATGTCTTCCTTTGCTCTTACTATGTTTTTCATTTTTCCCTGGGAGCAGGCCAAGGGTAGGTTGCAGAGAAGACACTGTTTGTGGAATTCTGTATTCTTGATGCAAGAGATCTAACAAAAATTTCTCTCAAATGTTGGGAAACTTCTGCAATAGTATAAGTCTTTACAACAGCACATGTGTAGGCATCTGGAGAGTATTTGTGTTAGCTGTTAATGCCGTCTTCTAAGAAATCTGTCCATTGAATGGTCCCTCATTACTTTATAGAAGTTGTAGGATGTGCTCTTCCATTTCCAGAATGGATTGTTGTTGTTGTTGTTAAGTGCCGTCGAGTCGGGTCCGACCCATAGCGACCCTGTACAGGGTTTCCGAGGGTGTAAATCCTTACGGGAGTAGAAAGCCTCATCTTTCTCCCG